CCGTTGGATTTCATTACTGTCGGTTACAACTGACAGAACATTTTTTAAAGTATAAACCGACTAAACATTTTCATTCCTGTCGGTTATAACCGACAGATAAACAAATGGTGGCAAAAATCCCCCAAAATTCCCTACCAAAATTTTAAATTCCCCCCCCCCCAAAAATTTGTTATGATTTTAAAAAATAACATAATAATTGTTTGGTTTAATAAATAAATAAATAATATGTCTTTATATAGAATACGTTTTTAAAAATTAAATAAATAATTGTTTGATTTAATAGATAATAACCCATGTAAAATATGCAACAAAGAAACAAAAAGATAATTGTACAATGAAAATGTCATCACACAAACTAAATATTGTCTAATCAATACTTGAAAAACATAAATAAAAATTTAGCACAAATTACTTTTCCCACTTCAAAATTTAGGCAAATTTAACGGAGATATGCATTCTACGAAACTAGTTTCAATGATTTAATTGTCAAACTTGTTTGTAGATATTACAAGATCACATACATAAAAAATCGCAAAAAAAAACATTGAGAGACTAGATAACGAAACAAAAGTTTTCGACGGTTATAAACGAAAAATCACAATTTAACGGTTATTTTAGCTCCGGTTTTGATGATTTTTTTTACAGCTACACTCCTCGACCCTATAAGAATGCAATGAATGAATTCGATCTTCAATTTAAAATATTTACACTAGTGGATACCACAAAATCTTATTTTATACTTAATGGAAGTATAATATTAACTCTAAGTGTTTGTTTAATCTACCGTTTTGATGCGATATGCATTCTACGAAACTTTTTTCAACGATCCAACCGTCAAACTTATTTGTACACACTTCGAGATTGCATACATAAAAAATCGTAAAAAATAAACATTCAGAGATGCACAAGTGAATGATTTAGTGCAAATGACATTAGGAAATATCATGGGAGAATGATCTCGTAATCACGAAACTTCTAAGTACCGAAGTGTGGTATCGTCTTCACTTACCTTATCTGTCTCATAGGTAGATGTGGCATCTTATCTGGAAGTACTCTTCCTCCATCCACGGGTGGTATCTTTAACTGGTGAAGATGCACAAGGTAATGTATCAATTTCACTTGAAGCTTACTTGTAGTTTCAGGCTTGGTCAAGCGCGATACAAACCATGTAGTAAGAGTCCCCCAAGTCGTCGAGCTAGGGGATCTGCTGAAAGAGGTGACAGACAAGGTAAGCAATCAGAGCTCCAAGCAATCAGTCCCAGATCAGAAGTTTGATTTCGAGTTTTGGCTGATTGTTCTCATTCTCCTTATCTTGCAGGCAACATGAAGGATAAAGAGAAGAAAAAAGAGAAGAGATTATGAGATACTTTTGCTTTTGAAGAAGTAACTTTCCACAAGCTTATTCTTGAACTGGGCTGGAGGGTTTTCTGGTTTCCTCCAGAGTATAAGGCCGACTGAAGAATTTGAGGATAAAAACAAGTCTATCAAATCTAGAGTACGTTCGACCCTGCTGATATGGGATACTTTTGCTGTTGACAAAGTAGTGGATGTATCGGCATGTGTTCTGTTACGCTTGTCTACACATGCTTCCTTGTATCATTCTCACTTGCTCTATCTGTTCCTCAGGCAGATGTGGTATCTTCTCTGGAAGCATAAGATGTTGAAGATGAGTACTCGAGAGCAATGCCAGGTAAGTAATCAGGTAAGGGGTTCCAGGCAGTCAATTCCTGACTGGAAGCTTGATTCCAAGTGCTGACTGATTGCTCTCTTTCTCCTTGTCTTGCAGATAAGAACAAGGCCAAAGGAAAAGACAGGGAAAAAGCATGATATGGGATACTCTTGCTTTAAACCTGATGATATGAGATATTCTTGCTCTGGTGTAGCTTGTTTGCAGAGGTATTATAGGGGTGAAAGAAAGCTGAGTATTTCGAGAGGCTTCGTTGGGAGTGCCCTCTCAGATATGAGAAAGGGTTGAGCATTTTTGCAGGTCTGCCTGTCCGTTGAGGATGGAGGTCGACATATATAGGAGTCTCCCTAACAACAAGTAGTAATGCTATTCCTTTACCCTGCTTGGTCATAGCACGGTAGTGGGAGCTGCCAGCTTCACGTGTTTTAACTCTGTCAGAGCACTTTGAAAAAATGGTCTGTGGTATCTGGAAAGCTGATGTTGCATGTGAAGATTACAGACAAGCTTTATCCAAGAAGATCTGGCTCTCGAAGTTGAGAAAGCGGTGCCTCTTCGGTTTTCGAACAAGCAATCCTGTTGGGGATCTGGTTCTCGAGATTCGGAAAACGGTGCCTCTTCGATTTTTGAGAAAGCAATCCTGCTGGGAGTCTGGCTCTCGAGATTGGGAAAGCGGTGTCTCTTCGATTTTTGAGAAAGTAATCATGTTGGGAGTCTTGCTTTCGAGATTCGGAGGGCGGTGCATCTTCGATCTTGGAGCAATCAATCTTGTTGGGAGTGTTTTCTCGAATGTGAGTAAAGGTTGGGCATGTTTGCTAGTCTACCTTACCATGGAGCACAGAGGTTGACAAACAGGGACTTTCCAATTATCCAGCAGTGATCCTGTTCCTTTACCCTTGTGGGTAATAATATGGTAGCTAGACCTTCAAAATTTATGTGTCTAAACTTTGTTAGTGTTGTTTCTTTGCTATTCTTTTACCCTCTTGGTCATAGCGATGTAATGAGAGCTGCAAGCTTCACGTGTCTAAACTTTGTACGAGATCTTTGGCAAAGTTATCTGTGGTACCCATGAGCTGATGTTGCGTGTGGAAAGTGGATGATTGAACAGTAAGATTCACGTGCTTTCTACTTCACCAGAAATCTTCGACAGAATGCCCGTAATTCCCGCAAAGCTGAGTGTGCATCTGACAGGTGCTGACAAGGCTGAAAAAGCAGGTGCCTCTTCGATTTCTGAGATCGGCCCTCGTGGTCTCTGAGCTGCCCAGCTTTTGAGAAAGCAAGCGCCTCTTCGATTTCTGAGATCGGCCTTCGTGGTCTTTGAGCAGCCCAGCTTTTGAGAAAGCAAACGCTTCTTCGATTTCTGAGATCGGCCCTCGTGGTCTCTGAGCAACCCAGCTTTTGAGAAAACAAATGCCTCTTCGATTTCTGAGCAGGCGCCTCTTCGATTTCTGAAGCTCCGTCGAGTGCAGATTTTAGTCGGTTATAACTAATAATCGCCAGAAAGTAAAATAATAAAATAGTCAATTTTAGTCGGTTATAACTGCCACCATTAACTTAAAAACCGTCAAAATATGTCAAAAATATTTTAAAAAAAGGGATTCAAAAATACTGTCGGTTATAACCGACAAGATTTTTCTAATATCCGCCACTAATTAAATGATGTGTCGGATATAATTTATCTGACATGATTTTTCTAATATCCGCCACCTAAAGCTAATATTGTAGTAGTGTATATATTAAAACAAATCACTGAGTGGGGTCGGCTATATGAATCTTAGAACGCCATTGTGCTTGGTCCTGTGTCATGTCTTCCGTTAGATCCAAGTACTCTAAGTCTTTTCTTAGAGTTTCTTCCAAAGTTTTCCTAGGTCTTCCTCTACCCTTTCGGCCTTGAACCTCTGTCCCGTAGTCGCATCTTCTAACCGGAGCGTCAGTAGGCCTTCTTTGCACGTGTCCAAACTACCGTAACCGATTTTCTCTCAGCTTTCCTATAATTTCGGCTACTCCTACTTTACCTCGGATATTCTCATTCCTAATCTTATCCTTTCTCGTGTGCCCACACATCCAACGAAGCATCCTCATCTCCGCTACACCCATTTTGTGTACGTGTTGATGCTTCACCGCCCAACATTCTGTGTCATACAGCATCGCCGGCCTTATTGCCGCAAAGTCCCCAAAATCCGACAATAAAACCTTAGGCTGCAAAAATATAAAACCAGGGAATCTCATTGCATTCATTGTCTGTATGTTGATCAACATTGTTCTTATTATCTAGATCAATTTCCTAGCACTCATTTGGAAGTGAAGTGCCACAAAGTTTTGGGTTCCCCTCAAATGCAGAAGTTTTAAAGCTTTGGAGCTGCGTGCCGTCAGTATTTGTCCTTGAAGATTATTGTACGAGACGTCAAAATTGTTCAAGAAATTAAGGCTTGTAATGGACGATTTTTTTTTTTTTGAACAAATGATTTGTGGAGAGTCAAAATCTCTAAATATTTTAGTTTAAATATTTGGTCTGGAATGTTGCTGGAGAAGAAGTTGCCATTAAAATACAACTTATGGAGAAGCTGCAATTGGCTGATCTTAGTAGGTGTACTACCACTAATGTTATTGCCCCTAACTCTATCATACCTGGAAAGCTGGACAATCCATGAAGCATAAAACTTGGATTTTCAATTATGCCATTGAAGAGGGGAAGTTCAATTTCATAATTGTCTACTAGAGAACTTCAGGTGAAGTTCGCCATTATTGGCAATCTACGAAGTTCTGTAGGAAATTCACCTAAAATGTGGTTGTTTTGGAAATTCACAAAAAAGAGTTTAGAAAGAGTCCCCACCCAACTTGGAATTGACCATGTGATTTGATTACCACCTAGATAGATCGTCTCTAGATTCTTTAGGTTTGATAACCACCCATGTATCTGACAAGTGAGCCCAGAGTTATTCAAACTCAAGAAACCACAAGATTTTGGAATCCATGAAGATCAACCATGTCATCATCAGTTGGCATCGCCTTGTGGTCAAACGCACTGGTAAGAGGAGTACATGAAGACTTTTGCAATGCATGAAGGACCTGCACGAGTAGTGATTATCACTCAACTGAATTGCTTTTAAAGACCTGCACGAGCAAAGGCTTGTTGGCAAGATAATAGTCAAGTTATTACCGACTCCAAAGTATCATCCACGTCAACACTTAAAACGCTTTAGGCCTATTAAATGTCTTAACTTATAGGCAGTTATTTAGAATGTTATAGCATATTGAAACCAATGTCGAATCACCCTTAAAGTTTAGGTAGTTATCTACACTTAACCCAAAAAAGTTCTGAAGCTATAAGAATTACAATAAATGGTATTAACTCTCTCATATTGTCCACAATAATGGATGAACTGGAAACACTTAACAAGTGACAATCCCTTTGATCCTGTAAAGTAAAGCGAGCCAAGTATAGTTGCTGAAGGCAAGGCCATCATTTAACCAACCAAAAAGAAGTAATGTGAGTTTGATCAGCTTTATTCTAAGAAACAAACCGCTAACAACTAAAGCAGTACACAAAATTATTTTCTACACATATTAACAAATGATCCCTGGAAGGCCAAAACAGATTGCCGCTGATGACGAGTGCTAAAATGGAATACAAGCTCTCTTCAACTGTACATCCGTAGGGCCTCGTGAACCCTTCTGGCTTTCCATCCTTCAACTATGGGAACCTCAATCCACAGAAGAATTGGTTTCTGCAGTTTCATCCTCACTGAAGCTAGATGGCATCTCCATGGCAGTTCTGAAAGTGAACCAACGCCGTCAGAAAGCAGATAGACATGTATCTATGTCACAAACAAGTTTAATCCTTGATGATACTACATTGGCAACACAGATATAGTAATACTCAGTTAACCTCGAAATGAAATGAAATGAAATTCAAATATAAAAAATAAAAAATTATTTTCGTCTAGGACAGAATTGGTACTGTTCCGATCTCATGCGGCTAAATTCGTGTAAAAACTTTGATTAAGTGGATTATCAAGATTCCAATTAGTGACGGCTTCATTCTAATGGCATTCCCACCATCCGTAATCTGAGCTTAGATTATACAAGAATCAACATGAAGAAGAATCCCCTCGTCAAAGTTCGACCCTTATTAGGGCAAATAGAATTTACTACAAATAATGGTAAAGGGAAATGCCACTGTAACTGAAATAATAAAGTGAAGCAAATCAGTATGAACTCTAATGCTCGTCGGGAAACAATAACAGCCTAACCCAGAAAATATTTTGCCATCTACTGCATCTGCAATATTGACTCTGACATGTAAGATTGCTGCCAAACATTTAACATGCAGACATTAATTAAAGTGACTGGGGAAAATGTGGTGTTTGTAGGCTTAACTTAAGCAGTCAATAGAGAAAACAATCCCTAGTACATATATATAAATTTTCATCTTGTATTTTAAAGACGGACAAAAATTGATGGTCACAATCAACGTAGAACAAAGCACATCCACAATTGAAGGATGCCATACTAACTCTTTGATCTGATTTTTACGAGGTGGCATTTGAGCAAATGAATTTGTTCCATAGTCTCGTTGAGGGAAATTAACTCTGGCTTGTTTTGTAACCTTTGATCAGTAAGGAAAAAGGATGTCAACATAATACGAACCACCATACATAAATAAGTAATTGTATGTAGCTATGTATCAATGCCATGCATGCCCTATTAACATTGTCCCACCAAAGTTCATACTCACCGCCATTTCATCTGTAGAATTCATTCTTCTAAATGGATTGTGATAGCCTTTCATGGCCTTACATTCTCCGTCAAACTTCTCCTCCTGGAACACATAGCAATTAAAATAGTCACAAGGCAAGTAGTTTTGACATGAGAGTCGTTGAATAATAGAGCACATAAGTCAAAAGGTACAGTCTCAGAATGCTTAACCATAGAACTTGAAGGCCTTGACTTCAAGTACTCATTCCTTTGGACAATCTTGGGGCTCATAAATTTATTGTACTCATCTAAGCAAGGCTCTGTTTGTTCACTAGTAAATTTCCTACCATAGTTACCCTTAGATCTCATTCTATCTTTCTTATTGCTATTATAAGCAGAAATCCCTCCAGAAGGTTTATCATAAATATCCAAGGAGGAATTTTTTCCAGGGGAAGAATTGGTATCGTTGTGATAAGTCAACTTTTGTCTCAATTGCTTGCTCGATTTCTTCTCCTGAAGATCAAACCCATGCATGATGCTAGGATTTTCCTGCTGGGAATTCAACCTGGAGTTGTATACTTCATATCTCTGCAAGAGCATTAGAAGATGGAAAGAGTATCATAATAGGGAGGGAGGGAAAGGGGACGAGAGAGAGAGAGAGTTTAAAAAGCATTTCATCTATCTGTGGGGGGGGGGGAGGGGGTGGGGGGAGGACATCATAGAAGAGTTTTATTTTGCTTCAATGAAACCAAGTATTAACAACCAATTATTTGCTTCCAGTAAGGACACAAATTGAGGTGCAAGTTGCGCTAATAAAAAATTTCTATTCTAATTTCAACTTATGAAACTGCAATTTGCTTATATGCCAAGACAATGACGCAAGAGATCAACTGGTTCGTAAAAATGTGGCTGGTCGACTGGCAACACATAAGTTCAATTGACTTGTTAAGTTTTCCTTGCTGTGAATTTGTGATTGGTATATACTGAAAATAAACAAATAAATTAGCCCCATCACAAAGTTGTCACACCCTTTCCCACACCAGATCTGTCAAAGTGTAACAAAAATGCATTAGGTCTGCTTACAGTGCTTGGACTTAGTTGCCCTTTCACTCCAGAAATGTCAGGAGAACGGAGGACAGTATTCCCAATAGTGGATGGTTCTGTGTAGCAATGAACAAAACAGAAGTATAAGACTAGTCTGCAAGAACCTAATATATAAGTATACAAACAATACAGTTAATATTAAAAGACTGGAGAATCTGAATGGAAGCTAATCACACACTGCTAGAGTACAGCGTCAAGATAAAAGAGAGGAAAAGCAATGTTTAGCTTCTTTAATAAACATGCTCAAAAAATTATGTTGTTGCTTCAGAATATTGCATACATCTAATAGTTCAAGAATTACAGTTAAAGGACTGTTGTGCTAATGCCAACACAGCAACTTGATTCTTTTAATTTTTTTACTTTATAAAAGTAAGAAGCTGGGTGTTTTCATTAACAATATCTTGTTTTTTTAACTTCCCACTGTGTTCCTTGTTAATATAATTGTCCATGATATCAATTTCCCCCAACAATATTCCGTCCTTATCAACGTTAAAAAAATAAAGAGTTAAAGTAGAAGCAAAAGAAATACACAATATGCAAATGTTTTCAGTTTGCTTACAACAACAACAAATGTATGTTATTAGTCTAAAAAAAATAGAAGTTCTTCAATCCACTAATCATCATAACTATCAAGATCAAGAAAAATCAAACATGAGAAACAAATGTAAACAAACAGTTCCATATGCCACATCAGAGAATGCACAGCAGAAATCAGACAAACAGGATGCAATAAGATAAAACACTGAGCCAAAGGAGTAGGGGAGTTCACAGGGAGACAGAGAGAGGGTAAAAACGTTGTGTGCCAAGGTAAATTAGTTGGATGGTCATATTTTAAAGAAAGAAGGTACACTAAATTAAGAATATTTCAATCCACTCACTACATCTTCTATGTATCTACACTATTATAGTACGGGGATTCCTCACTGCACTTCTTCCTACAATTTGTCCACTTGCCTCCCAACTACCCATGCTTTAAAATTAGACGCAAAAAAACAGGAAAGAAAACTCAAGCACTTGTGTTTCACTGTTTCAAAAGCCTAAATTTTATCTTATGAGCTTATATTAAAAACATTAGATTAAACTAAAGGTTACATCAAGTTCAAGATTTCCATGTCTACGCTACTGAACAAGGCCCAGTGCCAGCAGATAAACATGAGCCTTCCATATAGAACAACTAACATAATAAAATGAAATGTCACACACCTTAAATATCTTGCTTCAATGATTTTACTCAAATTGACAATATTCATATTTATTTATATCACCTATGGACAAAACAGATTAAAATTGTAAAAAGAAATAAAAACTACACAGTAATCATTCGCACAAGGAAAATATGATGAAAAATATGAGAGCATCAACACAAGCTAAGTAACAAGATCAGAAAAACAGTTAGCAAGCTTGCTGTTCTCAGATGACTATTTCATGGAATAGGAAATTTGATCCTATGAACAGAGTATATTATGATGTACCATGGCCAGAACCAATAATCGGGGATTCAAATGCACCACGAGGAAGCAAATCAAATTCTACACCTAATAGAGGACCATCCTCCCAATACTGCCTCCCGAGTTGCCTCTTAACAGCTGTAATAGCAGCATTTTCTGCTTCACCTTTCACTTTCATAAACCCCGAGGGCTTATATCCCATGTTTTCCATGCCCTTGGTATGTGTTAGATATCTAGAAGTTTCCACATCATACGGATCCTCCTTTCGAGTTAAGAGCCTATCTTGTAAAGACGAGCTACTTTCTGAAGATGTATTATCCATGTCACCAACTCTTTCTGTATAGTGACTCCTATACTCGCGGGTGATATCTGCAGATGTGAAATCATGCCCAGAAAGCCTTCGACTTTCAACTTCCCTTGGATCAACAAACCTATGCTCTCCATGTTTAGTACTGCCACAAGAGTCCTGCCCAAGTCCACTAGCTCGATCCTGAATAACAACACTTGAACGATCTTGCCGTCCATTAGCTTGTGTTTCATCTCTTGACAATCTTTTGTCTTTTAACCTTCTGTGGCAAAACCATCCAGATATCTGCTTTTCTGACAATCTTAAGTGCTCTGCAAGTTGTGATTTCATTTCCTCCGTAGGATATTTATGCTCTGGAAAAAGTAAAAAAGAACATTCCTTTGAGAAATTTGATGTCTCAAAACTGAGGAATACAAAACATACGCGAAGAGAAGCATCCTTACCATTATAAAATTTCTCCAAAGCCATAAGTTGGGCCGGTGTCTTGAGCTTTCTTTTCTTATTATTGTCTTGGGAATTTTTATTCTCCTCAGAATGCAGTTCATTTGATTCTAAATATCAACCAAAAAGAGGAAGAGGATATATTAGTCACAAAATGAAATCAATGATTGAGATAAATATACATCTATCAGGACATAATTGTTACTGGATCAGCTTCTATGTATGAATATAATGCTTCATTTGTTCAACTATAAATTGTGGTGGTAAAGAAAAATATGGCTAATATCAGGGCATGTGAACAATCCGTGGATATGATGGGACTCGACAAACCTCATCCCTATTTACTTGAGTTCAGGCAAAAAGATCCTTCACTATTTCACTAAGTTAGGACCACATCTTCTGTTAAGAATATATGCTGTGTTCTTTCAAATCCTGTAATTCTGGTGTTATAAAAATAATAAAAAAATAAAATAAATAAAATAAATAAATAAAATATAAAAAAACCCATTCATGGCATCTCCACTTAATAGGAAACTAAAGATGCTTTCCTCCTAGTCAACCTAACCCATTTTTTCTTTATTTAATAACATAAACTCTACAACAACAACAACAACAACAAAGCCTTTTCCCACTAAGTGGGGTCGGCTATATGAATCCTAGAACGTCATTGCGCTCGGTTTTGTGTCATGTCCTCCGTTAGATCCAAGTACTCTAAGTCTTTTCTTAGGGTCTCTTCCAAAGTTTTCCTAGGTCTTCCTCTACCCCTTCGGCCCTGAACCTCTGTCCCGTAGTCACATCTTCGAACCGGAGCGTCAGTAGGCCTTCTTTGCACATGTCCAAACCACCGTAACCGATTTTCTCTCATCTTTCCTTCAATTTCGGCTACTCCTACTTTACCTCGGATATCCTCATTCCCAATCTCATCCTTTCTCGTGTGCCCACACATCCCATGAAGCATCCTCATCTCCGCTACACCCATTTTGTGTACGTGTTGATGCTTCACCGCCCAACATTCTGTGCCATACAGCATCTGGCCTTATTGCCGTCCTATAAAATTTTCCCTTGAGCTTCAGTGGCCTACGACGGTCCCACAACACGCCAGATGCACTCTTCCACTTCATCCATCCAGCTTGTATTCTATGGTTGAGATCTCCATCTAATTCTCCGTTCTTTTGCAAGATAGATCCTAGGTAGCGAAAACGGTCGCTTTTTGTGATCTTGGCTAGATTGCTCCGGTCATTAGTGTGGATAAGTATAAAAATGGATAGAGACAGGAAAGCAAACACAAGATGTACGTGGTTCACCCAGATTGGCTACGTCCACGGAATATAGGAGTTCTCATTAATTGTGAAGGGTTTACACAAGTACATAGGTTCAAGCTCTCCTTTAGTGAGTACAAGTGAATGATTTAGTACAAATGACATTAGGAAATATTGGGGGAGAATGATATCGTAATCACGAAACTTCTAAGTACCGAAGTGTGGTATTGTCTTCACTTGCCTTATCTATCTCATAGGTAGATGTGGCATCTTCTCTGGAAGTACTCTTCCTCCATCCAGGGGTGGTATCTTTAACTGGTGGAGATGCACAAGGTAATGTATCAATTTCACTAGAAGCTTACTTGTAGTTTCAGGCTTGGTCAAGCGCGATACAAACCATGTAGTAGGAGTCCCCCAAGTCGCCGAGCTAGGGGATCTGCTGAAAGAGGTGACAGACAAGGTAAGCAATCAGAGCTCCAAGCAATCAGTCCCAGATCAGAAGTTTGATTTCGAGTTCCGGCTGATTGTTCTCATTCTCCCTATCTTGCAGGCAGCATGAAGGATAAAGAGAAGAAAAATGAGAAGAGATGATATGAGATACTTTTGTTTTTTAAGAAGTAACTTTCCACAGGCTTATTCTCGAACTGGGCTGGAGGGTTTTCTGGTTTCCTCCAGAGTATAAGGCCGACTGAAGAATTTGAGGGTCAGAACAAGTCCATCAAATCTAGAGTACGTTCGACCCTGCTGATATGGGATACTTTTGCTTTTGACAAAGTAGTGGATGTATCGGCACGTGTGCTGTTACGCTTGTCTCCACATGCTTCCTTGTATCCTTCTCACTTGCCCTATCTGTTCCTCAGGCAGATGCGGTATCTTCTCTGGAAGCATAAGATGTTGAAGATGAGTACTCGAGAGCAATGCCAGGTAAGTAATCAGGTAAGGGGTTCCAGGCAGTCAGTTCCTGACTGGAAGCTTGATTCCAAGTGCTGACTGATTGCTCTCTTTCTCCTTGTCTTGCAGGTAAGAACAAGGCCAAAGGAAAAAGCATGATATAGGATACTCTTTTAACCCTGATGATATGAGATATTCTTGCTCTAGTATAGCTTGTTTGCAGAGGTATTATCAGGGGGAAAGAATGCTGAATATTTCAAAAGGCTTCGTTGGGAGTGCCCTCTCAGATATGAGGAAGGGTTGAGCATTTTTGCAGGTCTGCATGTCCGTTGAGGATGGAGGTCGACATATATAGGAGTCTCCCTAACAACAAGTAGTAATGCTATTCTTTTACCCTGCTTGGTCATAGCACGGTAGTGGGAGCTGCCAGCTTCACATGTTTTAACTCTGTCAGAGCACTTTGAAAAAGTGGTCTGTGGTATCTGGAAAGCTGATGTTACGTGTGAAGATTACAGACAAGCTTTATCCAAGGAGGTCTGGCTCTCGAAGTTGAGAAAGTGGTGCCTCTTCGGTTTTCGAACAAGCAATCCTGTCGGGGATCTGGCTCTCGAGATTCGGAGAACGATGCCTCTTCGATTTTTGAGAAAGCAATCCTGCTGGGGGTCTGGCTCTCGAGAATTAGGAGAGCGGTGTCTCTTCGATTTTTTGAGAAAAAGTAATCATGTTGGGAGTCTGGCTCTCGAGATTCGGAGGGCGGTGCCTCTTCGATTTTGGAGCAAGCAATCTTGTTGGGAGTGTTTTCTCGAATGTGAGTAAAGGTTGGGCATGTTTGCTAGTCTACCTTACCACGGAGCACAGAGGTTGACACACGGACTTTCCAATTATCCAGCAGTGGTACTGTTCCTTTACCCTTGTGGGTAATAATATGGTAGCTAGACCTTCAAAATTTATGTGTCTAAACTTTGTTAGTGCTGTTTCTTTGCTATTCTTTTACCCTTCTTGGTCAGAGCGATGTAGTGGGAGCTGCAAGCTTCACGTGTCTCAACTTTGTCAGAGAACTTTGGCAAAGTTATCTGTGGTACCCATGAGCTAATGTTGCGTGTGGAAAGTGGGTGATTGAACAGTAAGATTCATATGCTTTCTACTTCACCAGAAATCTTCGACAGAATGCCCGTAATTTCCGCAAAGCTGAGTGTGCGTGTGACAAGTGCTGACAAGGCTGAAAAAGTGTGCCTCTTCGATTTCTGAGATCGGCCCTCGTGGTCTCTGAGCAGCCCAGCTTTTGAAAAAGCAAGCGCCTCTTCGATTTCTGAGATCGGCCTTCGTGGTCTTTGAGCAGCCCAGCTTTTGAGAAAGCAAACGCCTCTTCGATTTCTGAGATCGACCCTCGTGGTCTCTGAGCAGCCCAGCTTTTGAGAAAGCAAACGCCTCTTCGATTTCTGAGCAGGCGCCTCTTCGATTTCTGAAGCTCCGTCGAGTGCAGATTTTTATAGAGGTTGGCATTAAGTTCCAAAGCACACTTGAATCTCCACCAGTAGAAGCTCCATTCTTGCACTTCTAAGATCTTGATTTGTTCGACCTCTTCTCTCCTCAACACCTTTGAAAATGTCTGGCCCCTCCGACCGTCGTTTTGACTTGAACCTTGTTAAAGAGGCAGCCACGCCTTCTCCAGACAACATATGGCGCCCATCCTTCGTCTCCCCTACTGGTCCTCTTACCGTTGGGGATTCCGTGATGAAGAATGATATGACCGCTGCGGTGGTGGCCAGGAACCTTCTCACTCCCAAAGATAACAGACTACTTTCCAAACGGTCTGATGAGTTAGCTGTTAAGGATTCTCTGGCTCTCAGTGTTCAGTGTGCAGGTTCTGTGTCTAATATGGCCCAACGCCTATTTGCTCGAACCCGCCAAGTTGAATCATTGGCGGCTGAAGTGATGAGTCTCAAACAGGAGATTAGAGGGCTCAAGCATGAGAATAAACAGTTGCACCGGCTCGCACATGACTATGCTACAAACATGAAGAGGAAGCTTGACCAGATGAAGGAAACTCTGATGGGTCAGGTTTTACTTGATCATCAGAGATTTGTGGGTTTGTTCCAAAGGCATTTATTGCCTTCGTCTTCTGGGGCTGTACCGCGTAATGAAGCTCCAAATGATCAACCTCTGATGCCTCCTCCTTCTAGGGTTCTGTCCAGTACTGAGGCTCCGAATGATCCCCCTCCGGTGCCTTCTCTTTTCTGGGGCTCTACCGACTGCTGAGACTTCTCCTAAGCAACCTTTGTGAAGGCTCCCTCTTGTTTGTTTTTATTTGACTCATGTATATGTACATATTTGTAACTTATCGGGGATATCAATAAATAAGCTTTCCTTCATTTCAACGTATTGTGTTAAATACACCAAAGCCTTCTTCGCTAAGTTCTTTGAATTTTTCTTTTGTTGAAGCTTGTATGTTGAAGCTTTGTGAGTGGAGCATGTAGGTTGAAGGTAGTGTTCCCTTAATTTCCCGAGTGAGGAAAACTTCTCGGTTGGAGACTTGGAAAATCCAAGTCACTGAGTGGGATCGGCTATATGAATCTTAGAACGCCATTGTGTGCTCGATCCTGTGTGTCATGTCCTCCGTTAGATCCAAGTACTCTAAGTCTTTTCTTAGAGTCTCTTCCAAAGTTTTCCTAGGTCTTCCTCTACCCCTTCGGCCCTGAACCTCTGTCCCATAGTCGCATCTTCTAATCGGAGCGTCAGTAGGCCTTCTTTGCACATGTCCAAACACCGTAACCGATTTTCTCTCATCTTTCCTTCAATTTCGGCTACTCCTACTTTACCCCGGATATCCTCATTCCTAATCTTATCCTTTCTCTCGTGTGCCCACACATCCAACGAAGCATCCTCATCTCCGCTACACCCATTTTGTGTACGTGTTGATGTTTCACCGCCCAACATTCTGTGCCATACAGCATCGCCGG